TTGCTATCAACAAATAGATTTCTTAGCAGTCTACATATTTCGAAATAAAATGACTGGCTTTCAAGTAGAAATAGGGAACATGAAAAAATTTGGATAAAAATATTTTCAACAAAATAAAGTCTAAAAATTGACGAGGACATTATAACAGAGAATCCTAGAGACAAACTGTGAACAATCGAGACTCTTAAGGCACTATAAAATAAGTATAAAATAAGTAAATAAGTCAGCGTTTAATTACCCCCCCCCCCCCCTCAAAAATAGGACATCTTTTGATTATTGATGTTTATCTTCCTGTATATCTTAAACCAGAAAATATACATTCCCCCCCCCCCTTTTTTTTAAAGTAATTAAATTTATTTAAAAAATAACATGTTAAGGTCAACTTTTTTTGACCTTATTTTTTATATTACCTATGTTTCCCAATGTGATAAATGTCAAATGTCAAAAACTAGAAAACTTGAGTAAGAATCATTTCTGCAAAATATTATAATTCTAAAATGTAAAATGAAGCAAATTGGAATCGATATAACACAACTACCAGAAGTTAATAGATTCAAATATCTGGTTGTATTAGTAGACTTTTTCATTGAATGGATTAAACAGAAGCACTTACTTCTAAAACTGCTAAAACTTGTAAAAACAGATATGTTGACATAGTTGTTTCGAAATACTCGAAAAATGATAAAAGTCGTGAATTTTTAAATGAAACTTCTAAAGAACTTCACTTGAAAATAAAAACAATTTGAAAAATTACGAATATATTGAAACTTCCATTTTAAGCACAAATAACTGTTTGTTGAAAAATCTCAAGTTATCTTTATATAATGAAAAATAACTAGTGATGAACAAGAAATTACATTTGATGAAGTGAATATGGAAGTTGCTAATAATTAGACTGGAAAATTTGCAAATATTGAAATGAGAAGTTCTATTTCTAAAAAAATTGAAATTTGTATAACCTGAAATATAGTTACATCAGACATTAATCTACGTTTGTATCTTCCACTAGTCCGTTTTTTCACGGGAACGGGAAAGGGACGGGAAAAATAATCACGTGAGCATGCGTAATAAAAGTTTTTATTTGTCCGTAAAGAAACTGCGCATGCTCACGTGATTATTTTTTCCGTTCCCGCGAAAAAACGGATGAGTGGAAACTCACCTTTAAACAAATATGAAATTATAAGAGAAAAATTTGTAAGACATGTTTACTCAAATTAATGAAAAAATTACTTAATGTTTGAATCAATCAATCATAACATATCTTAATGAAACTAGAATGAATGATAATAGAACATGGGCAACTGATGCAGAAATTATTGTAAAAAAAATTATAAGAAATTATATAAAAAAATTTTAAGAAATTATATAAAAAAAGTTAAAGGAAATTTTATAAAAATATATAGTTAATATGAAGAGGAATCAAAATGGCTTACTTAACAATATAGTTTAACACTTACGCAGCTTAGTAAACATGCAATAGGGGAGATGGGGGCTCATTGATTGCCGTTGCAGTATTTTGAAAACTGCAAACAACACGATCTAGATATAAAAACTAAACTAAACTAAAACAATCTGTCTTTCAGTAAAAATAAATGTTTTAATAAAAAACATTAATGAACATGGTATATTTTAACATTACAACAACCCTTGCAAACGATCAATGTACCCCATGCAATGCGGTACAATGATCTTCGATATGGGGCGCTTTGATCTAATATGAGTAACATTATTTACATGTTTAATACTGCTATACCTAAGAGCTACAAATGCATTAGTTGAAGGGTATTAGTGTATATTATATAATACATCTAAAAAAAAAAGTAAAATTTAAAACATATATATATATATATATATATATATATATATATATATATATATATATATATATATATATATACACATATATATACATATATATATATATATATATATATATATATATATATATATATATATATATATATATATATATATATATATATATATATATATCATTACAACCTAATACACACCAGTATATAAAGTTTACATTAGAAGAATAACCACAATTCTGTCTATGAAAATAAGCCCGTCATATACTACTAACATATATATGTGTTAAGTTTTACAAAACTTGAAGCTTATAAAGTCTATAAGAATACAGTATTTTAAGTTTACGTTTAAAAAAATACAAGATTCATACAAGACTTTTATTGGAACTAAAGTTTACAAGATTATTTTTTTATAATATCATCCTTTGTCAAAGTCAAGTCGTGATGCTGCTTTTACATTACATTATTTTTTGTTCCTAAGCAAGTAGTTTTTAACTTTTCCCCTTTTTTTACCTTTTGCGATGAGTTTCTTTTGTTGGTTGATTTGTTTTAGGATTTTCTTTTCTTCTGACAAAAGAATTTCATTTCTGATTGGAGTATCAGTCGAAATCCTTGTTTTTAATTGCCTACTTTTAACACTTTTTTTTCTAGCAGATGCTTTCGGGTAAGGTTTCAAAACTTCAGGTGAGAGTAATGAAGCAATGCTTGGTGACACTTTGTTCGAAAAACTTGTTTCATGATGTACTACAGGCATTTCAGGCTCCATGCCATCAACATGTGCTACAGTCATTTCAGGTTCCACAAGAATTGTGTTTACTACATTTGGAGCAGCACCATCTGTAACTGATAATGGTAAATATTCATCATCTTTAAAAATTTCTGGATTAAATGGCTCAATGCCAGCTACTTGAAATCCTCTCTGTATATAAGATGGTGAGAAAGCTTTTGTATATGGTTCGCGAATTATTGAAACAATATCATAAATGGTCAAAGGTCTTGGATCCAATTATCACAAGCAGCATTGTAAAACCTTTTCAATGGTCCAAAAACAGTTCTATCCAATGGCTGCAATTTATGGGTACAATGGGGAGGCAAACTTAGCATTGTAATTTTATGTTGAATTGCAAGATCCAAAGCTCTAACAGAAATATGACTTTTATGGCTGTCCAGAAGTAACAAAACTGGAGATTCATGAGAACAGTGTGAATACCTCACAAAATGTTTTATCCGTTCTATAAAAATGTCTGAATTCATACAACCAGAAGGATTTGCAAATCCCACGGATCCAGGAGGACCTTCCTTTATCATGTAATCATGAAATTTGATCCTAGGAAAAACAAATAGTGGAGGAATAGAGTTTCCAGTTCCATTTGAAGCACAACATACAGTTACTAATGTTCCTCGTTCTGCAGATGTGATTCTTCCTACTTGTTTACTTCCTCTACCTGTTAACACTTTTACTGGCTTTTGTACTGCTGTTAAACCAGTTTCATCAACATTATATATGCAATAAGGATCAAACTTATATCGATTTCTTACTGTTTTTAGATTTTGGAAAAATTCTCCAACAGTGTGTCGGTTAAAGGCAGTTGATCGAGCAAAGCTAGTTGCTTCAGGTGTTTGTAAAGACAACTCTGGTTGTCTTTTCATAAAACCTTGCAACCAATCAATCCCTGCAATTTTATTTTTGATCCATGATGAAGGGCAAATCTTATTATTTTTTACAGCAAACTCGTATGCCAATAATCGTGTTGACTTTTTAGTTGAAAGTCCATAGTTCATTTTTGATGCAAGTAGTAAATAACTTGACAAACTTTTTTCATCTTCTGCAGTAAAAACTTGTTTATTGTTGTAATTAGGCTTAAAAGATTGATTTGGGTTGAGCTTCTTTTTATTACAATATCTTTTTAAGGTCATTCGATTTATGCTAAACTTGCGAGCTACAACATTCACTGGTCTGCCCTCTAAAACTTCATTAACAGCTGATTTTATTGTATCACATGATATAGCAACTCTGTCTGTTTTTTTTTCTTTACCTAACCATTTAAAGATCTGAAAGTTAAAAAAAAGTAAAACAAAATGATTGTTTAAAATAAATATTTTATATAATAACATTATGTAAACTAATTGTAAAACTTATGTAAAACTAAAAACTAATGTTATTAATATTAGTTTTTAACACTATTACATTTTAAAAATGAAATTTTAAAAGTTTATATAAAGATTTTTTATTCGTCATAAGTTTAAATGTATAAAATTAAAAAAAAAAATTTAAGTCTTATAATATAAGTTATATGGGGCATTTTGAGCCTCCGATCAATGAGCCCCGCATTGTCAACGATCAATATGCCCCATTAGGTACAGTTGATATATTGGTGCCAATAACTTCTATAAATGCAGTAACCAACTCAAAAAAACAAATTTATTATAAACTTAACACATATGAGTTTACAATAAATTGGTTGTAAAGTCATACGGAAATCTAATTAAAAATTTATTTGAATTTGTTTACAACTTTCAAAAATCACTTTTCATGATGAAAAACAGTCTTTTCAATTTTCTTAACACTAAAGTTGATCTTATCAAAAATTATTACGATTAAGCAATGAAGGGTAGTATAATCGTTAAGGTGGTTATCAGGTAAAAAAATAGCGATTTTTGTGAAAAAATGTGTTTTTTAGTTTATCAGCCAACTTTGTTTAAAATTTAATTGGCTTTTTAACCATATATAACATGATATGGGTTAATTAATAAAAAAATGTAAAAAAATTGTTTTAGTTGGTAAGAGTAAAAAAAATTTACTTAACAACCGCATAGCAACCAATAATTTTTTATAGATATATTACCCAAAGACCTAGATTTAAACAATTATTTCTTTTCATGGGTCTGTATAATTAACTAAACTTTTGAACCAGAGTTATTTTTAGCAAAGCCGTATGTTTTGATGTTATTTGTTAAGCAGAAAGAAAAAAGTTTAAAGTTGTTAAAAAAAGTTTTATTATGGCAAAGAATAAAAGTTTTAAAAATAGAAAAGTTAAACGAGTTTTTCAAGGTAATAGATATACTAAGAAAACAGTTGAGGTTTTTTTGCAACAGCCTGACAAAGATACAAACAATGATGGAATAAATATATTGCCATGTGCTAGTTCAACAAAGTTGAACATTTCCATAGATAAAGCTGATCAACCTTTAACAAAACACGACGACTTTTTCTTTTTTTTTCATTTCCCAATGTTTAAAGATTTAATTTGTAGCATTGGATCTTGTGGTGAATGCAATTCAAAGGATATTGCTCTTGAATATCTCGATGAAAAAGCCAAGGGATTTTCAATACAATTTTGTATTAAATGTGCAACTTGTGAATGGACGTACTTCTTTAATTCATCTCGAGCATTTAGTATACCTGATAGAGATACCAGAGGAGTAAAATCTCAAGAAATTAATGTTAGAACTGTTATGGCCTTTAGAGAAATTGGGCAAGGTCACGAGGCAATGAAAATATTTGCATCTATTTTGAATATGCCCCCACCAATGAGTTTGTTCTCGTATAATGAAATAAACTCTGACCTATTAAAATTTTATGAAGCTGCTTCTTGTGATAGCATGAAGGATGCTGTGACAGAGATAAGAAAAAGAGATTTTCCAAATGCTGCTGAAAATGATATTGTTGATATACAAATTGGAATTGACGGTTCATGGCAGAAACGTGGTCATTCATCTCTAAATGGTGTATGCACTGCTGTTGCAAAAGCTAACCGTAAAGTTGTCGATTACCAAGTATTTTCAAAGTTTTGTCGTGGCTGTGCTTTGTGGCAAAGTAAGAGAAATAAGAGCGGTTATGGAAAGTTTTTGAAGACACATGTTTGCGACCTTAACCACTTTAAATCATCAGGTGCCATGGAATCAGCAGGTGCTTTATCATTTTTTACGGAATCATTGGCAAAGTACAATGTTCGCTATTCTCATTATATAGGAGATGGAGATACTGAATCTTATACAAATGTTGTAAAGGCAAAGCCATATGGAGAAGATCTTGTCCCAGTAAAAATAGAGTGCGTCGGTCATGTCCAAAAACGCCTAGGCACCCGGTTACGTCAAATGCAATGTGACTTAAAGGGTAAAAAGTTAGAAGATGGGAAAATTATATCAGGGAAAGGAAGGTTGACAGATAAGATCATTAATAAAATGCAAAATTTTTATGGCATGAGCATTAGGCAAAATACCTTAGAAGCATGGAGTGGAGACCGTACTATAGCCTTGTACAATATGAAAAAATCTGTTTTGGCTGTATTGTGCCATTGCTCGAATATAAGCAACAGCGAAGAGAGACATCAATTTTGTCCACGTACAAAGGAAAGCTGGTGCAAGTATTGGCAGAATGACAAAAATTATAAACCATCAATTAATTTGCCTCTTGCTATTAAAAGTATTCTTAAAGACACATTCTTGGCACTACGGTCAGATGATTTGTTATCAAGATGCCTGGATGGCGCAACACAAAATCCAAATGAGGCTTTCAACCAGATAATCTGGAAAAAGTGTCCAAAAAATATTTTTGTTACTAAAAAGGTACTAGATCTTGGTGTTGCTTCAGCTGTAATAAATTACAATGATGGTTTGAGAGGTTTCACAAGAATTTTTGATTATTTGCAGCTCTTGCCTGGAAGTTTTATGATCCAAGGATCGTGGAAGAAGGACGTATCAAGAGTAAAGAACACGATTAAAAATTCAACTCCAAAGCAAAAAAGGGCTAGAAGGAAAAGGAGATGTATCAGGAAGGGTTATATTGATAAGGAGAAAGAAAAAGAGGGAGTAGACTCTTATATTACAGGAAATTTTTAATTAATAAATTGTTTTTAAACTTTGAAGCTTGATTTCTCAATTGTTTGTTTTTGCCTGACTGCAATAAGCGAATCATTCATATCTTTTTAACCAGATATGCAATTGAGTTCAAATTTTCAGGGTTGTTTCTTTATAGATAGAACTGCAATAGCTTACTAGAACTAATCTTAAGCTTGTTTCCATTTGAATATATTCATATTTTACCTTTTTTTTTTGTATCAATAATTTCCGTTAAAATTGAAAAAGCTGCCATTTTAAAAATAATAATTATTTTTAGTTTTTCTAGTAAGCTTTTGTTTAATACACTATAATCTATCAGTGTTGTAAGTTTTGGCTTATAATGTCATAAAGAGGCTGAGAAAATGTTGTTTTCTTTTTTCATTGATTTTTTTGCATTTTATGCTAATTCAGCAAAAAAAAAAAGGAAATTATTTTTTTTTTATCATTTTTAATTATATTAATAAGTATGTTTCTTTTAAACTAACTTTGGTATATGATTAAGTTGGCAATCAAAAAATAATTTTTTTACCTGATAACCACCTTAATTAAATTGCAATCTCTGTTAAATTAAGGCAAAAGTAAACGAGTAAAAGCTAAAAGATCATACTGCCCCGGCGATCAATGCGCATTTTTTTTGTCAATTTAACTGATAATCATTTTAATGTTGTGCTGTTGTAAAACTTTTTTTTCAGAAAAAATTATTTATTATCTAAATTAACTTGTCACTTTCCATAATCTTTTCATAATTTTTAAAGATTTTGTATAAATATCTATTAAATTTGTAAATTATACAAAGTAATTAAAGGCATTAATCATAATTATATAAAATAGTTGTAAATAAAATAAAGTGTTGTTATGTTGTCTTCAGAGATAAAAAAAACTATAATTTTTAGATTCAGCAAGTTGTAACCTCCGTAAATACTAGATATTAGTAAAAATCACTAGAAGTAAAATAAAAACTAATATTAAACTGAATCAATTTGAATTATTTGTCGATCTACCACGACACATCTTTCGATCCCCACCGCATAATATATATATATATATATATATATATATATATATATATATATATATATATATATATATATATATATATATATATATATATATATATATATATATATATGTATGTATATATATATATGTATATATATATATATATATATATATATATACATAGGTATATATATATATGTATATATATATATAATTATATATATATATATATATATATATATATATATATATATATATATATATATATATATATATATATATATATATATATATATATATATATATAATTATATATATATATATATATATATATATATATATATATATATATAATTATATATATATATATATATATATATATATATATATATATATATATATATATATATATATATACATACATGTATATATATATATATATATATATATATATATATATATATATATAACATATATATATATATATATATATATATATATATATATATATATAAATATATATAATGTAAAGTTACACTATGTGTAACTTTACTTTATGTAACTATCAATCCTCACCACGTCTCTAGTAAAACCGCGCTCAACTTGTTTCTTTCCGCTGCGGCCTTCGTGTTTCGGAGTTATTGAGTTGAGAGATGGTTATAACCACTATTAAATAGCCTCCTTGTCTGTAATGACCTTCTCGGCTTTGAGGAGGCGAATTTAAACTCACACACGCACACAAACTAAAACACACACACACACAAACTAAAACTTATGTAAATTTATGTAAATTTATAAAACTTTTGTAAACTTTTATTGTAACTTTTATTATTGTAAACTAAATGCCAGCTAATAATAAAATTAGTATTTTAACTTTTTTACAAGTTTAACTTTTGATAACCCTTTTGATAAATATAAAAATTCTAATAGCGTTACATAAACATTAAAATTTTAATAGTGTTACATAAACAACACTTCTTAATCGAGTTTATTAAAGGGGTTTATTCGATTGTAAAAAAAATTAGAAGTAAAAATCTCATACTACACCGGTATAACTGAAAATTAAAAATACTTTATTACTATTAATATAAACTCTTTAGTTTTTTAATATAGTAATCATGAAAACTATTTAATCTCAAATGATAACTATGTGAAAGTGATCACGAAAATATGTCTAAAAAGGAATTCGGTAGCATATTATTTTTATACTTGAACATAAAAATAAGAATCTGATATAAATAAGTTTTTCCAAGTAATCATATTTGTCATGACATTAAAAGGATTGTTTATTCGCGAACTGGCATAAGCGCGAACTGGCATAAGCGCGAATTGGCATATGTGTGAACTAGCATAAGGACGAAGCGTTGCAAAAACTGGCATTAGTACGAACTAGCATATGTGCGAATTAGCATAAGTGCGCCAAAACATTTTGCAAACATTGGCATAAGTGCGAATTGGCATAAGTGCGAACTGGCATTAGTGTGAAGCAGTTACAAAAATTGACATAAGTGCGAACTGGCTTAACTGCGAATTGGCATAAGTGCGCCAAATAAATTTGCAAACATTGGCATAAGTGCGAATTGGCATAAGTGTGAAACAATAATTTGCACTTATGCCAATATTTGAAATTTTATTCGGCGCACTTATGCCAATTCGCAGTTATGCCAGTTTGCACTTATGCCAGTTTTTGTAACTGCTTCGCACTTATGCCAGTTCGCACTTATACCAATTCGAATGTTTCAAAATTTGTTTGGCGCACTTATGCCAATTCGCACTTATTCCAGTTCGCGCTTATGCCAATGTTTTTAAAATTTGTTTGGCGCACTTATGCCAATTCTTACATATGCCAATTCGCACTTATGCCAGTTTTTGCAACGCTTCGCACTTATGCCAGTTCGCACATATGCAAATTCGTGCTTATGCAGCCTCATTAGTTCTCTTTATACATTAGTCCTCTGAGACAATAATGTTTTTATTTTGATAATAAGATGTCGTCGACTGTAACAAATGCCTTTGGAAGTTCTATAAAAACCTCCAGTACATGCTTTCTCTCTCTCATCAAAAAAATTGAAATATTTTATTTGTAAATTCATTAATAGCATGCTCTGTTAAACAACTTTTTTGAAAACCAAATCGATTTTTAAAAAAGTTAAAAAGTTAATTAAACGTTGTTTAGCTACGAGGACTAATAAATTTAGTTATTTACATTTTCACGAACTTTCGAGAACGTTGGTAGAATGGAAATGGGACGGTAGTTAGACATATTATTACAATCTCCATTTTTATAAACAGGATTGACTTTAGCAACTTTTAACATATTAAGAAAAATGCTGTGTTCAAAAGAAGATGATACTAAATAAAATAAGAGTTATCTAATACATTCAAGGACGCGTGCTGCTACATTACTAGTAATGTAGTCATATCCATACAACTTATTTTGTTAAATTCTTTATAAGATATTTTTTCATTTGGTAAACGTGATATAAGGTTTTCTCCAATAAATTCATCAAACTTCTTATTTGGCTAATTTTGTTACTATCATGATATTCTAATATACAATGTGAACATAATATTTGCACAATATTGCATGTTAAGCATTTGTACATTACAATTGAACTATTGTTGTAATGTACTTAATATTATGCTCTGATTATAATTCTATATAAATAAATTATAATAGTATATACAAAAATATACATTTTTGTATATACTATTTTTATATTATATTTAATACTTTTTTAATCAAATTATTCTTAGTTTAATTATAACATGTATTGTAATTGTTTTACAACAACAACAACAACAACGACAACAACAAAAACAACAATAACAACAACAATAACAACAACAACAAGCTATATTTTTACCGTAAATAAATTTTACAACACTATTTTTTTTTTTAATTATTCACTATCCCCAAGACCGAGAAGGTGACTAAAGTCGAGGAGGCTACTTGAGTGGTAACAACCCTCTCTCAACTTTACAACTCTGAAACATAAAAAATGACAAACAAGGCCGCTGCGTGGAGAAACAAGTTGAGTGCGGTACTACCAGGGACGTGGTGGGGATCGAACTCGAATTTTCTTATAAGACATAATCTTAAAAGATACATCATCAAAAGAGCCAACTCTAAGTGAAGGATTTGATATTTTAGCTCAGAAAATTGAAAATATATGGTTACCGGTTTTTACATCCAATTAAAACAATCATTACAACCGTTTAAAACAACCACGACATTCATTTAAAACACCGCGACAATCGATTAAAACAATGTGCTTTTCAATTAAAACAATCATGATTTTCATTTAAAACACTTAACGCATGCGCAATCTCAACATTCTATATTATTTTTTTAAAAAAAGTTTTCTTTATATATTTATTTATCTAATATTATATAAATTTATTTTTATTAATATTATATTAGTTTATTTTAATTTGTTGGAATTTATTTTAAATTTAAATGGATGTCATGTTTGTTTTAAATGTATGCAAAACCATGTTTTATTACATATTTTTTTATACACATACTGTATTGGCAAAACAACCATGATGTTCAATTAAAACATGCATGATGATAATTAAAACAACTATGATTTCCTATTAAAAAATTTAGCATATGAGGATATTAGATTTTCATTAAAACATGCAGCGAAATTCTGTTTGCCAAGATACGCGAAAATTTGTATTTAGATTGGTAAATTCAATCTGAATCTTCATGCCGCGAAATTCAGTTTCTCAAAACATGCGAGATCAATTTACGCATGTTTCGCAGTCATTCATGGACAAGAAGAGGAGTAACACCAAACCCGATCATTCGCCCTAGGCAGTGTAACTTTTGGATGATATTGGCCATCAATGGTTTAAATATTATTTGCTGTGAAGCTGTCAGTCAACACAGTTTTGTTTCAAGAATATATTGATGAAGTTGTACGATTTTTAGGGACAGAGGAGGAATTCCCCCTGGTGATGGATAATGTCAGAATCCATCATAATGATGAGACGAGGGCTTAGAACATTCAAATAAAATATTAGCCACCATAATCACTATTCTTGAATCCGTGTGAAGAGATTTTTTTTTATCTTAAGAATAACGTACGAAGAAATACGGCTCCAGCTGGAAGAAATAAACTAATTTCATAAATGCGTAAGGCATGCAAATTTAAAAAAGTTTTTTATTTTTAGTGGGTGGAAAATTATAAAGTTAAAAATAAAAATTATTCAGGTGATTGCTTTAATAAGATATTCAAATTCAAACAGAATCTAACCCTAAAAATCAAACTTTTTAAGGTTTGTTGATAAAGGTTTGTTGATAAAAAAAAGGCTAATTAAAAACAAAAGAAGCTAATTTCAAAAATGACGGAAGATTTTCTTCAGTTTTCGCCTAAAAAAAGTTGACGGAATCAAGATTTTCTTCAGTTTTTACCTTAAACCGGACACAATAAATCCACCTTATAATCAATTAAAATTTCATAAGTTAATCTGTTTATTATTTTTTCACTCTAATTGAATTTTTTTATTATGTTAAAGTTAATTTTTTTAATTATTTTTTCACACTGACTGAATTTTTTTCATTTGGGTTTTTTAAGTTTTCACACTTTCGTGTTAATTAACTTTGTACTTTTGCACTTATACTCTTAAAAATTAAAGTGCAAAAGTACACAAAGTAACCACAAAAGCGTTTCGTTTCTTCAATTTCAAATATCTGTAACTGAATTGAATTTACTGAACTTATAATGGCAAAAAATAAAACAAATGAGAAAGCTTACACTGAGGAGATAATAAAAAATGCATTGGATAAGATTGAAAATGAAGAGTTAAGCTTAAGAGAAGCAGCTCAATTCTACCGCATACCAAAATCAACGTTATCCGACCGAAAATTAAATAAGACTTTAGTAGTTGGTAGTGTCAATACAACAAAATTGAGTCCTTTTATCGAGTTAAACTTAGCTCACCTTCTTCAGATGCTTGGCGATTGGGACTTTGGTAGAGGAATAGATCAAGTTCAAAGTTTAGTGTGAGACTATTTAATGGAAGATGATCAAACGTGTTCGTGTAAAAATGGAACGCCTGGTCGCAAACGGCACAAAGAATTTATCGAAGCGAAATATATTTCGTAGCAATATATTTCGCTTAGTTCCGAGTCGATGGCACTCAGAACTAAGCGAAATATATTGCTATGAAAAAATAAATAGATAACAATAACAAAGTACACAATAAATATGTAAAACTATTATTCACAATATTTCTAAATTTAATTATCACAAGTATCTTTGTTGAACCCTTTTGTGCTTTTTAAAATTTTTTGCTATTGTAATCACCAACACAATTCAACAGCTATTTGAAATAATCTAGACGAGACATAATCCTTTTGAATCTTTGTCAATGAGGCTTGAAGTTTGAATGGAGTGCCTCTGTTGCTTGCTTACTGTAAATTCCAAGACCAGTTTTATGATGCTTTAGAAATTGTGGAACATAGTAAAAGACAGCATGAACTTTTGGTGCGACAGAAAGTTTAGATAATTGCTCTTAAACTCTTAAATCTTTTTCTCGAAGCCTGGAGAGAGTGAGCAGAATTAACAACTTGGAGAAACAAATCTAGAACATGGCAGATGGATGATGCTTCAAATGCCTTATCAGCTTCGGTTATCTGCTTCAGAGTGTCAATTTTTTTTTAGCAACTTCATGCAATCATTGCCATTGAAATGACCATCATGGTACGGCTATAATGGTATATGTATTGAAGTCAACCATTCTTTTGTTTTTGACAAAACTTGAACCAAGTGCTTAATAAGATGGTTAACAACGAAAAGAAGCAAATGAAGTTTCATTGGAGGAATAGCTTCTAAGATTAGTTTTTCATCTGGGAATCGGAGTATTGGTGGATGAACAGCGTTCTTGAATTCTTTTGATTTCTTTAGATCAGCACCAGATAAAATAAACTTTTGATGTTGCTCTCTGATTGTTCCAAATGTTTTGAGTTGGCCACAGTTGTTCAAATTTGTCGACTCAATGTTACACCAGCAGCAAAGATACTTGCTACTGTGAGACTTCCACAGATAATATTTGCAAGCTTCAAGCCACGTTTGACAGAACCAATTTGTCAATTAATTCATTAACTTGCATTAGGACCAAAATCAGTTTGATATTGCCAAATGTTTCAGGGGTGTTTTCAGAGATTGCTACAATTAGTTGCTTTTGACACCTGTGCTTTTAAAATTTTCACTTGAAGCCAACTTAATTTACTTTTTTACTGAACTTTGTAGTTCTGTTAGGTGTTCAAAAATTAGACTCAAACTAGCTTCGAAAAAAAGACCCTCCACCATCAAGGCCCAGTTTCACACTATCTGGTACTCATCAAATCTTTTGAAACTGTGATGTTTTCCTTTAGGGTTTTTAAACTGATACAATGGACAATGTCACGAACCTCATTGGAATCTGGCAATTTTACATTGGTAGCAATGAAAAAATCCTTTCGACTAGATCCTGCTGATGCGAATTTCTGTTCAAAATTTGGCTCAAGAAGGCAAACTGGACTAATTTGATTTAGAAAAGATCCAAGCTTTCTGATTTTATTGTTTGAAAGCCCAGTACTCTGCTGAATATCAACCATATTTTTTATTGTCAAAGGGCCTTGAAAGAGTGAATGAGCTGCAGATGTTCTTTAAGAAAGAAAACTAAATCAATTACTTCACATATAAATTGTATTGCTCAGAATGTACAGAATAATAAAATAACTAAGCTTTTCTTATCGGATGAGGTTTGCCATGAGCTTGACCACGAAGAGTTGTTCCGCCCGGAGATGTTTCTTTTGATGCAATGACAGATGAAGCAACTTATTCTGCGCCCACAGAATCTTCCAATGCAAATTGATATAAGTTTGCACGGTGAGTTGTATCACTACAATTGTGAGAAATTCCGCGAGCAATGATAGACTAGCATTTTATGCATCGTTTTTCAACTGACTTTCTTCTCGCAAAGATTTTGATGCAAGACCCTTTTCAAATAGATGCTTTTCTTTGTTATTCATCAAAACTGTAGAGTTATATTGCCTTTAAGGCATTAACTCCATCACCCAATTTTTTCAAGTTGCAACGGCATGTAACACAAATTTAAAGTAGCACTCTTTCATCCTAAAAATTAACATTTGATGAAATCAAGCGATGAATCTCAGAAATGAAATGTTTTGAAATTTCTCTGTCGCTTTTCTTCATTCAAATAACGCACAGTCTTTCTGCAATCATCATGCTCTTTGAAAAATGTAGGCATTTTTATTTTTTCTAAAAATAGCTAAAAATAGCAATGATTTCAATACCTATGCAACTTTTTATTTAACTTATAAGTGTAATATTTTTTAGCGTGATATAAAGAAAGAAAGTTATGTTTGTAACTTTTATTTACGTTTATATATTGAATATATTAAAGTTAATTTGATACTATTAAACTATTTATAGTTTCTCGTATCTTGACAATCATAAGTTTTGTGCTACATCTTTTCAATTCATTTATGTGCAAATTCTTTGTGCTGAATTTGTCCCAAAGGAAATAGTTTTGCAATCAATTATGATTGTCTGAAGAGAGTGTGACAAATATTGGTCCGGAAGGAAATACTTGAATAGCAATTGTTAATGATTATTTAAAGAGAATATTCTAAATGACTGTCCAAAAGGAATTGGTTGTGTCGTAATCGTTAGAGTATGGCAAAAAAACAATATATTTTTGCTAACAAATATTTGTAAAGTATCAAAAAAAAAAAAAAAAAAATGCAAAGCTAAATATCTCCCTCGGATTTTAATCCAAGATTTTAAAATTATTGTTTTTGAGTCCCCAATATATGTAGAATCAACCCTCAAAAGGGCAAATTTGGGATTTTTAGTCGGCATAAAAGTCAAAATTTTCAAACCGTGATTTATCTTTGTTTTTTTCATATAATTTGGAACTGTCCGCTTTTAGGAACAATTTTCCGAAAAGCGGACACTTTTAAAAAAATAAAATCTTCCATAGAAACTTGAAATAAAATTTTTTTTTACACTACAGAATTCCTTTAATAAAAAAATATACTCCAGAAAAAAAATCCTACTAATTCTCAATACTAAAAAAGTTATTTAGCTTTTTGTTAAGAGTGTCCGGTTTGCGGTACCTTTACTCTATATTCGAATAAAACATGGAGTTTTATTCGAAGAATTTTTTTAAAAAACTTTCTGAGTATTCTGGCTTCCCATATATCCCTTTTTCTGGAATGTGTTGCATAATCCTAATTAAGCAGAAAAATTGATACAAAATATAAAAGCACAAGAAATACAACTAAACAAATAATATAATATAAATAAATTTTTTTTAAAAATAATTTCGTAATATATCGTTTTTTATAAATAGCAAATAAAAATAGTAAGCAATAATAAATAGTATATTAAAATTAAAAATAACTAACTTAACCAATACAAAGAAAAGTAAACAAAAATAATAAAAAACGATTAAAAAAAGCAAGAGATTTGTAAATCTAAATAAATCGAAAAAAATTGAAACATAAATCTTGAAAAAAATTGAATAAAATTTGAGAAAACAAATAAAAAAATCAATGTTTACAATTCCCATAATATATTTATGATTCCTCATCTGAACTGAAAAAAGCAGGCTTGTTTTTTTTAGGCATAGTTTTTTTAAGCGCTTTTTTCACAGTTGTATTTAGAGAATTATCAAATTGATTTAAATCACTGCGTTTTCGAGATCGTAAGTTGTATTTAGAGGCCTAGAAAAAAAAAAAAATTCACATAAATTTAAAAATAAAAACTATATATGTAAAATCTATGGCCGATGACACGGTTTTTAAAGTATCATCAATTTCTAAATTCTAGATTATGTTCCCTCCCCCATTTTTGATTATGTTCTCTCCCCCTTAAACTATTTTTGAATAAATTAGACTTCAAAGCAAACAATGCAGGGGCCTCTATTTATTCAAAAATATTTATCATTATAAAATAGACATTCAAAAAAAAGTATATTTATGAAAGAAAAAAAAAGTTAAAAACAGTATATTTTGAAAAGAAAGATATCATTTTAAAAAAAATAATGTAGTTATTAATAGCAAAACATAAAAATAATATTTTACTTTAAACAGCTACAAATAAGTTAGTCTAAATTAGTATAAGATAAAAACTCAGGAAAATGAATTGATTTTCAAAGAACTCAATTATTTAATTTCTTTAGAAGTTTTATTCTAGCAAGATTTTTCTAAATAGAAATTTTAAAATGCAAATGTCACAAAAAATCAAATTGAATTTGTACCTTCATTTATATCTGCTAAAACTTTTTGAATTTTTAATATATTTCATGATTAAAAATTTTTAGCATTTCACATTGAACTTTAGAAAAAAAAACTTTGACAATTACTCCTAAAGTTTTTATTGAACAAAAAAAGTTGAATAGTTTTGATCAAAAAGTTATTGAAGCAAAATGTTTATTATTGAAGCAAAATGTTTATTATTGAAGCAAAATGTTTATTATTGAAGCAAAATGTTTATTATTGAAGCAAAATGTTTATTATTGAAGCAAAATGTTTAAGTAACATTTTAAATAGACCTAATGTATGTTTTTTTAGCCAGACAAAAGCTCAAAAAATTATATTTTAAAAAGGATATAAGTGACAACAAATAAAGTTTACAGTTTAATTTTATTTATTCATTTAAATTGCTTTTTCATAGTTTTTTTTTTTGAGTCTAACAGACTAAAAAAGGTTGTGGAGGTTTTAATAAATTTAATAAAAAATATACATAAATAATGAGTTGTTAAAAACAAAAATATTATAAAAATTTTTCAAAACCATTATTTATATATTTAATTTAAAAAATAATTTTTTTTAAACTAAATGTTTATAAACAAGGTAATCTATTAAGCCTATAACAAATAAATTTTAAAAAACTTCTAGGAAATAATATTTAGAAATAGATTACTCAGTTAAAAAATCTAATCTTATATAGATTTATTTAGATATAAAATCCTAAAACCAACATTTTTTTGCGTGTTAAAACAAAATAAATAAAACTTACATTTAATGATTTATCTAAAGTATCATTTACACAAGATCTTCTAGAATGTGAAATTTGAGAACTTTGAGATAGAGTTGTATTTTTTATTTCAGTTAGACCTTTACAATTAGAAATCTTGAACTCCAGGTTTTCTTTATGAGGAGTGCTAGTCAGAAAAGCTTGCAAAGTTTCTCTACACAATAATGATAAGATAAAAATAAACAGAATCTCATAAATAAAATAGTTTACAAGTGTAAACTTAACAAACTTGTTTCATTATTACTAATAATAATCATGTGTTTATGTTGTTTGTAGTCAAAATATAAACACATTAAATGAAAATAAAAAAACTTACTCCAAGCATTTTTCAGCCAAGTTAACTTTTTCATCAAAGGCTATACTATCTGTTAAAACTTTTTTATTTTCAGACTTTTTGCGTTCTTCATGAAGAGCTAGTACCTGATGCTGTAATTCACGTAAAATATTGTAGTTAATTCTATCAAAATCTTTATAACGAGCAGCTGTAATTCCAAGAACAATTGTACCCAAAACAAAAAATATTTTTCTGAAAAACCAGATCCATTTGTGAATATTTTCCTAAAGTATTTTTTTATATTTTCAAAGAATGTATTATTAAACATATGTTCAATTAAGGGCGAATCCATGGGGAGAGGGGAGGGTAAATTAGAGAGGCTGTTTCAAAGTTAAAATAAATTTTAATAGATGTGTGTGGTGCAAAATAAAACCTGATTGTTATCGAATATCAATATGACATAGCTTCATAGTTAGATAAATTAAAACAGTGTAAGACTAATATTCTAAGAAAACTAACTTAAAAAGTTTTATGATTTAAACCTGAAACTGCCTCCCCCCCCTCCTACTTTATTGGATTCTGGATCAACCTAATCAAATAACCTAAAAATCTCTCCTTTTTACAAGATAGTCTGCATTTGCCCCTGTGTTCAATATAACATACTTAATCTATATACTGTATTAAATAAAAACAAAACTATTACACTATTGTCTTGCTTTGAAATTTCACTGATTGCCCATTTTACATATAGTCTTTCACATATTATGAGCAAAGAAAGAAACACAAATAAAGGTAATCGACCTGAATATGTCCTAGGGGTGCTAGTAAATAAATAACAAACTACTGTTGCGACTAAATAAAAGGCAACAGATTGAAGACTAATAAATTCTCCAAGAAGGATTGTTTGAAGATTAGTAAGTCTCTCAACACTTTGAAATATAGAGTCAAATGTTTCTGAGAACATTGTTTTTTGCTGTTGTGCTTGCTCTCGAACTTCTTCAAAAACGTCCTTAGCAGATTGTGCTGATTTAACAAGAACTTCTTTTAGGATTAATTCATTTTGCAAAATTTCTTTTTGATTTTGAAGGCTTTCTTTTTGAGATATCAAAACCTGTTGTTGCTGTAGGACTGATTGAGACAACACTTCTAAAGATTCAATTGAAGACTTTGAAAGCTTGTTTATTGTCGATTCAGTATTTTCTCTCCACAAAGCACTCTGCATATAAAAACATATATCAGAAACATGAGTAAAGAATTCTGTATATGATTGAAAAGCAACAATATCGGATCCCATTTCACGAGTACATTCTTTGAAATTTGAAATATGACACGGATAAATCTTTAATCCCGATTTTTTTAGATGACAGTTAGAAAATTGCAGAGCAAGATAGCTCTGTTCAATATCATTCATATCTCGGCAACTTGATGAAAGTTTTAAAAGTGCTTCTTCCCAACAAGTAACCTCTTTAAATTTCTTTTTATCGTTTGTAAATTTTTCAAAAGTACTTTTACCCCTTTCAAATCGATCTTTATCGTCTGATAATTGAAGGTTGAATTGAGAGCTAATGAGTTTGAAACATATAGAAATTATTAACCAAGTAAATTTCATTTCTTACTTTTTTAATATTTATATATTTTGAACTTTTTGTTTTTATCATGTATTAAAAAAATATATTTTTAAAAATTTCCGCGGCGAACCTCAGCCAATCAATAATTAGGATAATTCTAGGGGGCATGTAAAATTTAAAATATCTGAAATTTAAAGTTTGTATAAAATAATATATATATATATATATATATATATATATATATATATATATATATATATATATATATATATATATATATATATATATATATATGTATATATATATATGTATATATATATATATATATATATATATATATATATATATATATATATATATATATATATATATATATATATATATATATATATATATATATATATATATATATATATAAGTAATAGATTACGCGAAAAATTGATAGAAAAAACATTGACAGGAGATTTGACAACTTTAAGCACCTACTAAAATGGCAAACATGTATCTGCGCCTTTTACGAGGACATTACGGCTACAATGGTGCCTTTTTACAATTTATTAAGTGATAAAATTAAACTGTAATAAAACAATGTCAAACAAAAAAAGCGCTGTCGCTGAATTTCAAAAAGGCGCCACCAGCTTCAAATTTTTTTGCATGGTGAGCATTCAGGACCCCTGCGCCCCCCTGCCTACGCCTCTGATTAACATATTGTGCAAAAAATGTATTTCAAGCTAAAAGATTGTGTAAAGCAAGTATAAAATTGGAAATATATGCTTACTGTTCTTGGCCAACAGGACTGAGAAGATATTGTAACCAAATAATGGCTTTGTTATTAGAATTAGCTGATTACTCTATGAAAATTCTCTAAAAAGTCCCAACCGAAATTTCTTGTGCAAGTAAACAACAACTTTGGGGCATACCTGGTGAAAAATATATAAGTAAAGCGTTCAACTGTTAAGAGAGAAAATAATAAGCGTGGTAAATACTCTTCATTGTAGGATCCTAGACTTTTTTTTAATGAGTATTTACAGAAACTTAAAAGTATTAGAGTTGCAAAAAAACTTATGGAAGTTGACTACAAAATTAGATTTGCTCATGTTGTGTCACCCGTTCACTCCTAAAAATAGGTAAGTACAAGGTTTGGTCAGTTTCCAACTGGCTCACCTCTTAGTATGCGTTTACAAGTTGTGAAACCTCATTTGGAAATAATATTAAATATACAAAAATTAGCTAAAGGTGAATTTGCTACTCAAGAACCAGAAATTGAATTTGATTATTTACCCTTAGAAGTAATAATTAATGACTATAATGACATCATTCCAAATTGTAGATTAGAGGAAAAAAATATTGAAAAAACAACAGTTTTACAAAAATTTTCAGATAAAGGCTTGCAATACGAAGAAACAAAAATTAATTCTATCTAATTTTGTTTCTAATCAATTCTCATAAATTATATATTTTAGCCAAAATCTTTGACTATACTAATATCCGTCTTTACATAAAAATATAATTCATCTGATTCTAAACTTTTTGAAAAAGCTGTAAAACACGGTAAAGAATTTGAACCTCTTACCAGAGATATTTAAGACATTATGAAACACAAACTTAATCATTCTATAAAATGCAAAGAAACAGAGATTATTATACGACCTAAATTACCATGGCTTGCAACGTCACTTGATGGTATATTAATTAATGGAGAATTGAATAATGAATTTGGGTTAATAGAAATAAAATGTCCTTGGTCAAAGAGAAATCATTTATCCCAAGAATTAGTACATAACTAATCTTTTATGTTAAAATAAAAAATGACAAATCAGTTTTGCAAACTAACAAAAAAAAAGAAAATGGATTTTAGACTCAAATACAAATACCTTTAGGTATATTACAAGCAACATTGTGTGATTATATTGTTTATACATTCAAAGGGTGCATTATTATTTGAGTTCATTTTAAAGATGTTGTAAATAAACTAAACTTGTTTTATATCAAATATATTTGACCTGCTTTTGTTGAGCTTCACACTAATTAAATTGAACAACAAATTATATGACAAATAAAATAATATTATTTAAAGCAGTTTATTTGTACATCAAAAAAAATTAATTTTTTTTAGTTTGAAAAAATATCATGTTTTTTCTGTTTTATTTAATAAGGGTAATTGAAAGTTTGCAAGGAGACAAATAATAGTCCAAATTTGGTTTACTGAACAATGCAAAGGTAATGATTTTTCTTTGAGTAGTACGGTCTATATGTATTCGTACAGTTGCAGTAGTTTGGTTTCTTTAACCTCAGCTAATGTAAAGTGGTTTTGACCTTTTAAAAACAAAGGGATGTTTAGATTTACATTTATGTTTGCTATTTCCTTTTCAATTGTAAACCCTCTATCTTTAATTACTAAATCATTTTTATTTCATAAATATTTTATTTAAGAATCCTCTTCTTTGTCATATTTTCTTATTATTATCTAACTTACAAATATTATAGCACCAGAAAGAGATAATCCCTTGTAAGTAACATGACTTTTTAATTTTTTTTTATTTATTTTTTTATTTTTATTTTTATTTTTTTGTCATTTGACACATTTTACAATGTTAACCTTACATTCAAATAAATTTATACAAATGCAAGTTGACTGGGGCAAATAGAAGACAAAATGTCTTATCATCAAGCCCCTTCGTGAAAATAAAATAAATAAAAAATTTTTACAATTTCCAATAATATATAAAAGAGTGAAATTAAAAAAAGTTTAAAAAAACAAATTAAAACTGCTATTGTTTCGCAGTGGAAGCTATTAAAGTTCCACCACTGATATGGAACCATCAGGCCGTAAGAGTCTTAAGAGAAGAAAGAAATATATTATATAAGTGCAAGGGAGTGCTAGATAAATTATAATATTTGGACAGATGTCCAGTATTAAGAGGTGGTGTTAAAGAGGGGAGTATTATTCACTAATTAAGTTAGAGTTAAGTAAGTGTTCTTTAAGTTAGGTTTAAGTAAGTGTTGTTTCAGTGTTCTGTAAGTTTGTGTTAATTATTGTGCTTTGTGTTTGTGGTGTTCTAAATGTTCAAGTTTAATATGTGAATTAATGTCTTTCTTTGTATGAATCTGTATTTTCGTAAATATTTTAATTTTCCGTCTTATTTAATTTTGATGTTATTATGTTCTTTGTGATCGTAATCTTTGTTAAAAGCACTTTATAAGATATGTTTTAACATATGTTGGTAGAACATATGAGAGTGTGGAGTTTGTTGCTATTTTTGTAAGAACTATGTGCGCGGTGCAGTACAATTATAGCAACACAGTTTGGCTCAGTGGTGTTGGTTCGGGGCAGTATGATGCTTGTTAGGTAAACCAATAAGTTTCTTATATTATTTATAGAGAGACTTATGTATATCTAGAATATTATATATATCGTGTATAATATATCCGATATGCATAGTATGTATGCTATAAAGCTTTAGTGATTACCATCGTAAATTGGAGGTAATAAATTAGTAGTAAATTAGTAGTACAAATTATTGTAGTATAAAAGTAAAACAAGTTGAGGGGAAGGTGCTGCGCGAGTGGAGTTCGGGGTTGAGGTCATCATAATGGTCGAAAGTTGTGGCATGTGACAAACCTTCATCTCGTCAGGGCCATGTCGGAATGTCTAAGCTTGTTTCGAAGAAGTTAAAGTACTAAAACAACTCCATGGCCTACGGCTTAGTTACCACGTGAGGTTTAGATATGTGATGAACTCATACCCGAGGAGTCTCCCATTTTATCTGGTGTGCGTATCGAGCATTATAAGATCATACAGAATAGTGTAGATCATTATAATATGTTCTCACGCAATTATATAATACTGTGAGAGTTGATTTAGAATCTTAGGGGGTTGGGTACGGGAGAGCTGGTTTAGGCATAGAAGTATGCCTAAACCAGCCTAAACACCCATATAAGAACACAATTCTACATATACATGTATACACACCTAATGCATAAACACACGTCCACATACATGCACACGCATATGCGCATATAAACACGCAAACACATGCACACGCAAGTACACATATACTTGTGTGAGTACAACTATGCATAAAACAGATAAATCAGGTAACGGAGTGAAACAGAGTGAAATAGAGGGGGTTGGGTGCAAGAGTATGAATCCAAATATAAATGTATGTGCACATGTATATGCACATACAAATATATCTGTATGAACACTACCATGTATAAAACAGAGGTCTATACATACTAAGAGGGTAACAGGGTAGGGTGTGCATATATGCATGCAAAAACATACATCCCCACATGGTGTTGGGTAGTATGAAGTTGGCTACTTTCTCGGGGATCGCTCGTGCATTCCTCATCATAATAATTTCGTTTATTATTTTGTCTGTTACCATTTCTGTTGTGTCGTTTGGTAGTTCGTCGTATGTGTTTTTGTCTTCCAAAAAAAAAACAATGAGCAGCCCAAACACGTAAATATTCAACACCAGCTACACTTCCAAATAAACTAAAAGATTTTTTAAAAAAAATTTAAAAGTTTTTATATTGTTAATTTAAATTCCAAGTGTTGGTTGTTTAAAAACAAAGAATTATTTATCTCAATTAAAATCATTCCATTTTTATAAAATAGACTGATGAAACAGACAAAGTGAGGTTAATTAGCAATAACACTTGTCGCTGATAGGTTAGCGATTTGAGGAGTTCAGTTTTTTGACTGGCCCTTCGCTAGCTGATTTAGTGACCCTTCTTCGTTGCTCTCCATCTCACAAGTCTAGTTTCATGATATTCTTGAAATTTAACGGTGATCCTGCATCGTTGAGGTATCAGCAAAGAGGCCTGGCTGCCAATAAGTTAACGATTTGAGGAGGTCGGTTCTCCGACTGACCCTTTGTTGGCTGATGTGGCGACCCTCTCTCGATGTTTTTATCTTAACTTTCAGGATCCAGCTAAAACAATGAGCAGCCCAAACACATAAATATTTAACACCAGCTGCACATTCAAATAAACTAAAAGAATTTTTAAAAAATTTCAAATGAAAAATGGCGTAAAAAGTTAAAAAAGAAACCTAACTTGAAAAATTTTTTGTAAAAAAGCAACTTTATTATTAACACTAACG